CCCTTGTGTCGCCCCTTCGGGTCTTGCTCTCGTTTGCCTCCGAGGGGTCAGCCTGTGTTGGCGGCAGCCGTTTGTCGCGCGTGCTCACTTCTGAGTGGCGTTTGAGCCCTCCTGGATTGCATCGCGGCGCGTTTTGGGGCTGCCCTGGGGGCGGCGCTGCCTGTGTGAGGAGCGCGAGCTGTGGCTTCAGCGGTTATGCAAGAGGAGGAGCTCGTGTCAGCGCGTAGCCCGTGTGAAAAATAGCAAAGAAAAAGAAAACGTGCTGCGGTTTGTTCCGTTTTTCAGTTTAATTTATGGGGTGTCGCATCACTTCTGTTAAGAAAATTAGGGACCTAAAAAGAGTTAAGTTGTTCAACTTGATTGAACCAAAGTTTGTCTGGTTTTAGTTATTTTCATGCTTGAGAACATCATCTTTAACGTATAGTGAGCGCCGTGAGTCAGGAGTGTCGGTCTTAACGTGCAGTTCCGGCTCGTCGTGCCGTCCAGGTGACTCGTCCCAGGGCCGCTAAGCAGTGCCCTTCTGCACATTTGGCCCCAAGGAAGTGAACGCGGGTAAATCTCTTAGTTGGTAAAAGTTCACGCTTTACTATTTGCCTTGAGAATGCTGGCTGGCGGCCCTCGCGGCTGCGGTGTTCTCCCCGAGGTCACTCGTGGGTTCCAGTCCCAACCTCACCCCCAAAGTTTGCCACGAAACAGCTCGCCTTTATCGTTATTTTCACATCGCTGGAGCATATCGGTAGTCTTTGGAAATAAATGACATCATTCTGTTTAGCGTTCTGTTTTTAGAGTTCAGTAGCTGAAAATGTCAGATCCTAGAAAACATGGCATTCGTGCGCGTGCGACGCTAAATGAACACTGGCAGCGAGCTGCAGGTTTTTTTTTAAACAAGAAAAGACAGATTTTTACTGAAGTATATTCAATCTTTTATCTCTTGTGTTCGGAATGTTGTGTCACCTCATTTGGTCTGTTTTAGGATAATGCTGGTGGTAATTAGTAAAATGTGTAATTTATACCTCTTTTAGCTTTATTAATGCACATTAATTAAATTATATAAACTCACTGTAGAATTTTAATTATAAATTTCTGCTTAGTTCAGCGTCGGTTTGTGTTGAGAGAAACTGTTCTCTGTCCACAGTAATTAGTAGCACACGGTAAGCCGCACACGGCAGGCTCCGTGGGTTACAGATGTAGCCGGAAGACATCTGTTTTGAGTTTTGTGCGATCGCGATGTACGTTCTTCTGATGCAACATTTAAAAACCTCGTTGGTGCTTCCCTCCCAGTGAGAACTGTCGCCTGGCCGCTGAGCTCTACAAGGACATGCCGGAGACCAGCTTCACGCGCACCATCTCCAACCCCGAGGTGGTGATGAAGCGGCGCCGGCAGCAGAAGCTGGAGAGGAGGATGCAAGAGTTCCGCAGCTCGGACGGCCGGCCGGACTCAGGTGCGGCCGCCACCGGCCCCGTCGCCGCGGGCCCCGCTGCATCTGCCTTGAGCTCTCAGAGCAGACGGCCGCGTCTCCCCTTTGGCTGTCCAGTGTGTAAAGCGGACGGATGCTGCCTCTGGGGACAAAATCGTTTTTACTCATCCTCTCGCCCATGCGTTTTTCTTATAAATTCCTTCAGATCTGTATTTGGAAATAGGGTGTAATTCAATAAGGATGGAGTGCCCTTCGCTGCAGTGGCCCTGCTGGTGCCGTTGTCCTTCTCTGCAGCTATTCCTACCCCAAAGCCAGGGTTCTCCTTGTAGAGCCCGAGTGGCATTTTGCCCACCTCCCGACACACACAGGTGTGCGCATGCACAGGTATGTACACAGGTGCGCATGCACAGGTACGTACACACAGATGCGCACACGCACAGGTACGTACACAGGTAAGCACACAGGTGCATACACACAGGTGCACGCATGCATAGGTACATACAGGTGCGCACACACACAGGTGCACACACACAGGTGCGCGCATGCACACATATACTCCTTCACACGCACGTACACACAGGTGCACACACTCACAGGTGCACACATGCACACACGCACTCATACACACAGGTCAAAGCTTCTCAGTGGCCCTAGCTTCAGCCAGAGTAAAATTTAGAGTCAGGATCGTGGGCTGCAAGGTCAGGCATGACCGGCCTTTACCGGGTGTGGCCGCACCTCCCTGTTTGCACCTCGGTCTCTCTAACCTGGCCATGACCCCCGCTGGACTCAGCCCGGCCGTAGGCATTGTACTTGCTAGTCCCTCTGCCCAGCAAGCTCTGTAGGTGGCCATGCGCTGCTGTCGCTTGTCGATTCTTCAGAGAGGCCTTTCCCAGTCACCCGGGGTCAGGATGCTCGTGCTTTTCACAGCATGGACCAGTGTCTGAAGCTATGACTCGTTTTTTTGTCAGTCTTCTCCCCAACACCAAACATGTAAGCTGTTTAAAGACCGGGTCACTGACCTGCTCCTTGCTATCCCCTCAGCGATGAGACAGTGGGGCCCTCAGTCCACTGAGTTTGCACACAGCCAGGTGCGTTGACAGCCTGACTCCTGGCCTGAGCCAGAGAGTCTGCGTTATAACATTAGTGTGGACCAGTTGGTTTCTTAAAGACCAACGTTATTTTACTGTGAGTCAGGTTGTCAAAATGCAGTGTGCGCCATTCTTGTTGACAGAGAATATGAGAAGCATTCAGTTTGCCAGAGTGCGCGTGTGAGAGTTAAGAGTCAGGGAGTCCCGGGGGCACAGAACTCACTCCGGGGGCCACAGGGCTGTCCGTCTGGCTCTTCTAAGTGGCAGGTGAGAAAAGGCGGAAGCCTGGCCCAAGGTCACACATCGGAGAGGGCGCGGGGCCTCGCTTAACGCCCTCCCCCAGTGTTCTTACTAAGATGCTGAGGCTTACACATCTCATCTAAGGAGAAAGCAAATCATGACACTGGAAGTGAAAACAGCGTGTATGTAGAGTTACATTAAAAAAACCAGAAACGAGAACCTCGAGATAAACGGATGCGAGCTCGGCGGGTCTCCCCTCCCCCAGCCAGGCGCGGCTGGAGAGCCTGTCCGGGCTGCAGCGCCTGGCGGTGGACGAGAGCCCAAGGCTCCCGTGTCAGTGCCCCGTGAAACATCTTAGGGTTCCAGCCCCCACGGTCTCCTGGGGCCTAGTTCAGTTTTTTAAGATTGATCTATTCGGTGGGGTTGATATTTAACTTTGAGTTTTTAATTTAAGTTTCAGATCAATGATCAGGAAGTAAAAAAAAATGGGGACAATCGGTGTGTAATGACGTGTGAGTAAGGAAATGAGAAAGCCGCGGGAGAAAGCGACAGTGTCGCACTGGAACGTCTTACTTTTCCATCTGCACCCAGAGGGGAAACCAGTTCATCCTTACAAAAGCTGCTTGGGCTTGAAGGGAGGACAGGAGAGGTCTTTGTCGCACAGGGTGGCTCTCTAGCAGCGTCACTAGATGAGCAAGTGCTGCTGGTGTGCAGCATCGGACAGGAAGTGGAGATGGAGTCACACGCACCCCGTCTTTGCGCTCCCCAAGGCTGGAACTTGGCTGCTTGTTTTGAAGTGACGGCAAACGTAGCCATCTCCGTTATTGGCGAAATAAAGTTGTGCTCAAAGCTGTCTGTTGTTTTTCAGGTGGAACACTGAGAATTTATGCAGACAGTTTAAAGCCAAACATCCCCTACAAGACAATCCTGCTGTCCACTACAGACCCCGCGGACTTTGCGGTGGCCGAAGCTTTAGAGAAGTACGGTCTGGAGAAAGAAAACCCGAAGGATTACTGCATCGCCCGGGTAGGGGACGCCAGTCGGGTCGTGGGACGGTTTTCTCTGCCCGCTGTGCCGTCTGGAGCCTCCTAAAGAAACCACACGTTAAATAAACGTGTGGAACGTTCTCCCTTCCGGGACAAAAGTAGTTTGTGTTTCTGTTTTTATAAAGTAAGAAAAGCATAAAAAGGCACATTGAAAGTAAAAATCACCCACGGTTCTAATAGCGAAGGATAACCATCCTAACCAATTGTTACTGTGCACATACAGGTCTCTCTGTTGTAGTGAATTCTGCCTTAATGACGTTTTCTGATAGCTTTTACTAAGGTACATCGTGAAGACTCAAGTCTTAAGTAAATTTCAGTCTGCTGTTCGTAATTAGCCGGCCTTGGGTTGCCTGGTTCGCAGCCGTTCGTAATTTCTTGATGATAGAGACTGTCTCCTAGTGCGCATAAGTCTGTTGAATAATGATCCGCTCCCCAGAGTTGCAGTTGAGATATGTGATAATGAACTTGATAACATTTTTTCCTTTCGAGACCTTCCACCGGATTTCTGTCGATGAACATCAGCGCGCGAAAGCACAACTCTCGCAGGGCCGCAGAGCTGCAGGAGCCTCTGCTTTGGGCTTTTGCTGCCGGTTCCTGTTGAGGTCGTTTGATGACTTCTTTTGCCGCTCCCCTGGTTTTGGTTTCTGTTCTGTTCTTGCACATTTTCTTTGGCAAGCTCAGGCAGTACAGGCCGAGAGACGACGATTATTTTAATTTGGAATCAGAACTTCTTTGTTTTCTTGGCTTGCCGTCTATAAGTTATGTAACGTGTAGCACATTCGTAGATAAGAGCCACTTTCAGAAGGGCTTATGGTAAACGGAGGCAGAGAGGCCAAGAGCGACGTACAAACGAGGATCTCAGTTAGGGTGGGGTCAGAGAGGGCTTCCTGGGGTGCCTGTGCTGGGGCCGAAAGACGAGTGGGCGTCAGCGGGACCTGAGAGTTGGGGGAGGAGCTTCTTAGCCATAAGAGATTGTGGAAACCCGAAATTCATGGCCTAATCAGAGAACTGTGAGCAGTCCTGTGTGGCCGGACCCATAGGGTACGTGACCAAGACTGGGGCTCGAGAGATGAGTGGAGGTTCTCTGTTCTCTAAGCCAAGGGTGTCACGTTTAATACAGAAAGCCAGGAAGAAAGGTCGATCACCATAAGGGTGTCCTGTAATAAACTTCACTTTTTAAGGTGATTCGGAGCAGTGTAGAGAGAAACGATAGGTTCTGTAGAAGAGTCTGCTCCGTCCGGTGTGTGAACACGACGACATACCTGGGTGGTCAGGTCTGCCGAGATAACATTATTACTTTAGCCGTAGGTCGAATATGTTGTTCAGGTGCCAGCGACTCGTCTTCTCGCATTTTCCGTGATCATGCCTGGCTTGTGTTTGTGCTGAGTTAGTGTGAGGGTGGAGCAGTCCAGTGGGCGTACGACATTACTGGGCACCGTCACCCAGCTCGCTCTTGGCTCTGTGTTCCTGGGGGCTTTCTCAGATGATGAAGACAATAGTTTGACTACCATAAAAACGTAGAATCAAAAGTAATTCATTGTTATGAATATTTAAGAGCATAGTGAATGCAGTATCTTCAAAACAGATGCTTAAAAACATTTGTTGACTGAGTAGCCTTATGACATACCTGAATGATCTGATTAAAATTTAATTATAAAGACAGACCGTGTGGAAGAAGAAGGAAGCTGTTCTGTTCCGTGAATTGGTGGTTATCCTAGCACATCCAGGGTAGCCATCGTTACATGAGGCGAAACTCGCTTATGAAAACAATCGTTCGATTAGGAAATGCGGGTCGGGCACTAGAGAGATCGAGATTTGCAATAACGAAGCTACCTTTCCTTAGAAACAAGTTAACTATTGCATACTGTCCTTCCTTCTACAAGTTTGTTTAAAAACAAAAAAGGCCCTCAGACTAGTTTTTGGGGGGCCGGAACCGCCCAATCAAGCTGGCTAAGCTTTTCATTGGAAATGTGTTCCCTCTCTTTTGTTGACGGTTTAGCGAGAACTGTTCATAGTATTTGATCAGTTTGATTTTACAGTGACAATAAATTCTTTTCTTTAAATACTTGCTGATTTGCTTTTTAGGCATAATCACAGTTAATTATTTTTTCCTTTTAGGTTATGCTTCCTCCTGGGGCCCAGCATTCTGATGAAAAAGGTGCTAAAGAAATTATCCTTGATGATGACGAGTGTCCTTTACAGATCTTCAGGGAATGGCCCAGTGACAAAGGTAAAGTGTAGTTTTATTTGTTAGGAATTACTTCCATGGCATGTTGCATTCCTACGTGGTCTACCAGCTGCTTAATGTGTCAGGATGCACCGGAGTGCTCACAGCTCGCGGCAGTTTCTCGGTGGCCGTGGGCCGTGCAGTTTTCTGCCTCCTCCTCAGACCTGCTTGCTGGTTCCTCTGCAGTCCCCTTTTTCCGGGGGCCACACTCAGCTTGTGTGAGTGTCGTGTGTGGAGCTGGGACAAACCGTCACTCTAAGGTGGGAGCATGGTGCCTCAAAGGAGTGCGAGATTAGCACCGGCCAACACGTGGAAGGGCATCGTCAGGCTGCCAGTGGGCCTTGCCGTGCTGACCGCGAGAACCGGGGGTGTCCGCACGCCGTTGTTACCACAGGGCAAATGACCTCCCAGCCTAAAGATCGTCCGGTCATTTCAGTCTTTCAGAAATGAGTCCAGACTTTTCACTGTTCAGACGATTTCCTGTCAAAAAGCAGTGAGTCTACAGTCATGGGTTCAGTGAAGTGTAGTTTTCTCGATTTCAGACTCACGTTATAAGCTAACGGTTGCTCAGTAGAAAGCCTTTGCATTAGTAAAAACTCAAAGGTTTCTTGCCGATTGAAAGTACACTAGCTTAGTACTTTTTATTAAAATCAAATTCGTTTGAATTCCGAATAATTCAGTTGAATGAAATGAAAATCAGGTCAACTAAAATATATTTGTGTATATGTGTGTGTGTGTTTGTGTGTTACGTGTGTGTGAATGTATTTGTTGATCACAGGGTTGTTTACCAATATAAATGTTCATTTATTCTTAACCTGATGTGTCGTCCGTCAGGCACGTGATGTAAAATAATCTTTGCATGTTGCTCGCTGGCGTTTTTCAGAAGCGCAGCCCGAGTACGCTTCCGCGCAGCTGTTCCTCGGGGGATCACCGGGTCCCTGTTTCCTGGTCCGTCCCTGAGTAGCGGCCAGTCAGCTGGCCATTCTCCACCGACTTCAGTCTGGTTCACGGCTTACAACGTTGCTGTTGCAGGGATTTTAGTCTTCCAGCTGAAGAGGAGGCCGCCAGACTACGTCCCGAGGAAGGCGAAGAAGCACGCGGACGGGAAGCCGGCCAGGGCCAAGGAGCGGGCCGACGGGGGTGGCCCCGCGCTCCCGCCCGAAAAGCTGCCCTACCTCGTGGAGTTAAGCCCCGGTGAGAAACACCAGAGATGCTCAGGTCTCAGCTTTAACTGTCTACACTTCTTCATGCATTTTATTGAAGTATTTCTCTTGGCCCACAACCTTCTATAGGCCATTTGTTTTTTTAAAAAAGTAATCCTCACAAGACGACATTAAAGGAAAAACGGCCGGAGGTCAGAGGATGTGTACTTTCACGTGTAAAAATAAAGTTTGCGTAGACGGAAGTGAATGTCGAAAATCAGAAGTTAAAATAGTGAATGTAGAGGTTGAAGGAGAGCTTTAGTTGATCTACTCAATTTTTTTTCAAAAGAACCTTGTAAAATACTTAATCTACTAAAAATGATAAACGTATTCCTCTTAGGGCAGATTTAATGGAGGCAGGTGTGTGTGTGCCATAACGTTGTTTAATGCTTGGACAAGTTCTGGGAAGATTGTCTTAAATTTAACAGGCATTTAAGAAATCCATGTGTAGGAGAAGGGGTATTTGTTTCGTTTTAAAATTACAGTAGACAGTTTATTTTCACGTTAGCAGTTTTGTTTATAGAGCTCTCATAAGCTGAAGCTCTGAGTGAGCCACCAGGTGGAGGGATTGTTGATGTTCTTAGATGTCTCTCTCTCACACACACACACGCACACACGCACACACACACACTCCTCTGCAGTGCGTACGTCTGCATGTGTGTGATGCATGTGCCACGTTTGTTTACCGTTCAGCTAAATGGCATCATTTCTTTTTGCGGTGAAGTGGTAGTGTGCGACCTGTATCGTAACATGCTACGAAACAGGCTCCACCAGTAGTTACAGAAAAGTGAGCCGAAAACCAGACCGGATATGTGGATGATGTGTGCTTCTTGGGCAGGAATTATATTGTTCTGTTTTTAGATTTTTGGCGAGTGTTTATTTTTATTTGCAAGACCGTAACCAACGATCAGATGTGGTCCAGCAGTCCAGGTTTTGTGGATGCAGGAGATGCTGTTGCTTTGACTGACTCTCAGTGGTGGTAGGCTGCAGGTAGTAGCTTTTATACTAATTATGTTTGAAGGCTTTTTTACTTAATCGATTAGCTATTTGTGAGGGATGTGTTCGTGTTGCTTTGTCCCTCGGTCCTCTGGCTGAAAAGTTCATTTAAACTTCTGGTTTCTCACTGTGCTTGAGAAACGTGCCCCACTGTCTTATGCCTTCAGAGTGTGAGTGCTGTGCTGCCTGCTTCCCTGAGCCAGTGAACAGCAGCTGTGAGAGCGCCATTTTGAACTTGACATTTTTTAGAATCTTGGAGTATTGGATCTTTTCTTTAAAGTTTTGTGTTATATCCTAGAAACTAACAATTGTTTTCTGCAAATTTTTGAGGGTTAAGGATTATTATTCAGAGAGAACTGATAAATGGTAGCCGATACAGAATAATTTTCAAATGAATAATGGAAAGTTGATTTTGGTGGGTAGAATGAGAGTTCATTCATTCATTTATTTGACAGGTAGTTATGGACTATTTACTGTGTGTCAGACTCTGTCCTGGGCCTGGAAACCAGCCGAACCCTCGGCCGGTGGGAGCTTACATTCTAGTGGGAGTTGCTGTTTTGACTGCTTACTTTATACTTGTGGTCTCCGGAGTAATAAAATACATGAAGCTTGTCGCAGGTGCGGGGAGCCAACAGCCCAGGCTCATGATGGTTCTGTGCTGCAGTGCTTCACCGGACGCGAGCGGTAGCCTCCCTCCCTCCCTTCGTGGCCTTCTGCTGCCTGTGGCCGGTGTTCGGTGGGCTGCCCCTGTAGGCTGAGCAGGGGGTGCCAGGTGGATAAGGTTACTGCTCTCGCCTTCGGGTGACCCTCCCACCGAGGCCCACCTGTGGTGCTACGTGATGAGTCCCTGAGGCCGTGTCTGACTTCCCTGCTGTGCTTTGGGCTCCTTCTGGGTAGTGTTCCTCGCCCCACGATGCCGGAGCGCCCGCCTGCCCCCGCTGCTCTACGGGCGGGTGGCCCAGGTGCCACGCCAGGGCCTTACCCAAAAGCCACGTCCTCCTCTGGTCCAGGCCTCTTTGCGTGTCGTGGTTAGTAACTGAGCGCAGCCAGCCTGCCGAAGGAAACGGACATATTTTCCATTACGAGAAAATAATACTTGTGAGTGTTGACTTGTTACGAACGGGTAAGAACTGTATTTCCTCTGGACAGGTTGTCAGCTGGGTGGGTGTCCTCGGGGTCGGCCTGAGGTCCTGTAGGCGTGGGGTGGAGGGGTCTGAGAGGGGCGTGTGCTCGCACTGTCTTTTGTACACGTGGGGGGTGAAAAGTCATTTGCTTTGGATGTGACTGTTCTTCCAACAGCAGGACGCAGTCGGCGGGTGGGGCTCTGTGTGACTCGCTGTCCGTTCCTCCTGCCGGTTGGCGACTCGCCCGTGCTCTTGGCGTTTTCCTGGACGGTCTGCGTCGGCCTCTGCGGCGCACGCTGCCTGGAGCACGGTGTCTCGTCCTCACGTTCTGCAAGCTGGGGCGGGACGCGCTTGCCCCGCGGGAGCCGTCTGTCTCACTGCCGCTCACCCTCTCCTGTCTCTCCTTCCCTCTTCCACGCGCTCTGCATGGCCTCTGTCCTGACGCTGCCTTCACCTGGGTCCTGTGCATGTGTTGTTGACCCCAGGGAGAAGGAATCACTTTGCCTACCACAACTGTCACACTTACGAAGGTAATGCTGCGCTTATACTGCTACTTAGCGAGAGCACCGGTAGAACCCCATGGGCAAAAAGTGTTAGCTGATCAGATAGTTTACGTTTTAGTTTTTGAGCTGATATAAGTAGCATTTTAAGAAATGAATGTCCTGTCGCTTTATTCATATTTACAAAGTGTTCCATATCCAGAGTTCATTTAATTTAATAGAAGCTTATTTTGTAAAAAAAAAAAAAAAAGTCCAGTTCCTTCATTCAGGCAGTCCTCAGTGAGAACTCGGACTAAGGAAGGGAGAGAGCTGTGTTCCTGTCCCCCCCGAAAGCTAGGACAGAGGAGAACAAGGGGAAGGAGGAGGGGGGGGGACGGGGGAGAGTGGGAGCGTTGGGGTGGGAGAGATGGACGAGATGGGGGGCGGGCGGGAGGAGCTGCTGTGATCGCTGTTGTCACACATTCTGGTGGCGACGGTGGGTTCCCAGGAAGACGTCGCAAAGCAGAGGCCAGGTGCCCGAGACTGCTTGGGAGGCTCAAGAGGACAAGGACCAGCCATGCACTCGGTGTTCATGGTCATCCTGTGGGGGACTGGCTTACGTTGTGACCAGGTTTTAGGGTTCTCCTCGTTCTCGTGGCGGAAATTAATTCTTACTGGCAAAGCGGTGCTTTTTTACTTGGAATATGTTTCTCAAATTTTATGCATGTCAGTTTTTGTCATCTTAAATCGTATAGCTGGTTTTATGAAAAGACTTTTTTTTTGTCTGTTTTTTTATTTCAAATTTTACTTTTCTACATGTTGAATGTCACAGTCAAATACTTTCTCATGCTATATAATTTTTATCTTCTAACATCTTATATTAACTTGTTGAATTTTCTCCAAACTGATCATAGGGATTTTCATTGGATGTTAATCAAACTTGGAGTTTCTTTAATATAAACAAATGATTTTTATTAAGCTATTTTAATATGCATAGAGTCTCCTCTACGTTTTTGTTGTTGTTTTATTCCTGAAGAGAATTCTTTAATGTTTTCATGCGCTTGTTAATTTTGTACTGTAAAATAGTGGAACAGCAGGGAGAAAGATGCATTTCCTACTTTACCTGGTGTACGCAGAACGCGCATAATAAAGGCATGCACGTTGGCTGACCTGTTCTTAGTTTTCTGCCAGTGCTGCTTGAGGAGAGTGTGTTTATTTTCCAGTAGAGTTAAAATAGCCGTAAGATTGTTTCGGTAGCCACAGGCATGTCCTGCTGGCTCCTAACTGTGGTGGCTCACGCAGACGTGAGCCCGGGGGAGCACGGCCTCTGCCCCTTCCTCGCGGTGTGCCCGAGCCCCCAGCCCAGCGCCTGGGACGGGGGACGCTTGTCAGTCAGCACCCCTAAGAGAGTCGAGTCCCTCCCGCCCTCCCCTCCGAAGGGATCCGCAGGAAGCACGCGAGAGCGCGCAGTCAGGCCGACTCCCCAGAGAGTCACTCAGGGCACAGCTGAGGGCAAAGGCGGACTCGACGCTGTGGAGCGGAATCAGGTGCCGTGGGACCGTGTCCTCAGCTGTGTCCATATGCGCCGTCGACCCTTAGCCAGCCTTCCGTTACATCTCAGCTTAAACGAGAGCAGACGAGCAAGAGGCGGAAAGTGTGCACAGTGATTCAGGGATGCCAGGGTTACGACTGAAATTCAGGACAGCAGGTGACTGTGAATTTCAGGTAAAGCACCAATTTTTTAGTATAATCACCTCTCAGATATTATGCAGGTGACTGGAGGTCATGTATTTCATTTGACGACCCCAAATAGTGTTCTGACGTTTGTGCCCCACCCCCCCAAAAAGGAGAGAGAAGAATGTGTGTGCCTCCCGTTGTTCAGTTACATACGCGTAACCCCGGTTTGGAAGGCTTTGCTTCTGGAGGGGCCTTAGGCAGGAGTCGAGGAAGCGAAGGGTGCTTTCCACTGCACACTTTTTGTGCCTTTTAAATTTTGAACCAGAAGAGAGAGAAAAATGTGTGTGCCTCCCGTTGTTCAGTTATACGCGTAACCCCGGTTTGGAAGGCTTTGCTTCTGGAGGGGCCTTAGGCAGGAGTCGAGGAAGCGAAGGGTGCTTTCCACTGCACACTTTTTGTGCCTTTTAAATTTTGAACCACGTAAATATATTACATATTTTTAAAGACAGAATTATAAAATTAGAAAAACTGAAAACATCCCGGGAGCGGTACTGTCGTGTGTGGTGGTGTCGCCTGGAGGGTGCCCCAGATTTGCCGCAGCTGTGTGACGGGAGGGCGGGGCTCGGCCGGGCTTGGGCAGAAGCCGACTGTGGCTGAGGAGGGGGAACGTGGCGGGTTTTAGTTTTCGGTCACAGTCTCATGCTTGTTACCGCCTGTGAGATGGTCACTGCACTGTGAATGGGGAGACGGTAACGGACCGTGACCAGAGGAAATGTACCGGCCACTCGACGTGACCTGCCCCCTCTCCCCTCACTCTGCTCCTTCCCCAGACTCAAACTGGACGCCGTTTGTCTGCTAAACCCTGGGGCCACCGCTGCGTCATTCCGTCTGTAGAGACTCTGACCTCTGTCCTCTGTCATTACTGGGGAGCGGTAGAGAAGGGGGGCTGGGAAGTTTCATTTCCAGTTGCACCTGTTGATAGCGAAGCGGTGAGAACGGAGAGACCGCGAAGGGAGCTTGTGTTTCTCCCTTTATCGTCCTAGACCTGCCGGTGTAAACGTCGACGTAGGACAGTATATCATATTTATTTTTAGCTCAGAAGATACTTTCAGAAGCATTCAGAATTCAGAAGAAAATGTGAATTTTTCTCTCACCCTTAACATACATTTTTCATGTTCTTGCATTTTTAATTTTGTATTGAAATAATTGTTCTCGGTCACTTATTTGCTTCTTTTGCTTTCTTCATAACTCATTTGGGTAATTTCTGTGCGACCATATTGCGTTATTCTGTTTTCTTCATTTTTGGTGAATAATTATTCACTGTTCATGCATTCAGTCTTTATCGAATGCATGCTGTGGACCAGACGCTGCTGAGTGCCAGGATAGAGAGATTTTTTTTCAAAATGCTAGCCACCAAGCTCCTCAGCTGGGGGAGGCGACCGTGTAGAAAGCATGGTGAGAGGCAGTCAGTGGCCCTGAGGTAAAGCAGTCCCTGTGCTGCACGGGCTGAGAGGGACACGGCACAACTCCAGCAAGCCATCGCGATTGCCCTGGTGTCCCCACGCGCAGAGTGGTGAGCGTGTCGAGGGCGGGGGCCTTAGCCGGTCTGGGGGGCGGCCCGTGCCCAGGGGAAGCGCAGGTGACCCCCGCCTCCTTCTGGGTGGGGGCTGGAGTCGGAGCTGAGCATAAATTGTTTCGGAGGTGCCCATCACCAGCGTGTGCGATGGAGGTGCCACAGCGCGAGCACTTGTCAGGCGCGGGGTCTCGCCGGCGTCCGCCCACAACACCGTCCCGGATCACACAGGTTTCTAGTTTGGTTCAGAAGTAGGAAATTTTGTCAGGACGTTACTTCGTAAACTCTGAAGCCAGCAGCAGTCCTGACAGAGCTTGCAGTTTCACGGCGCCTCGTCTGTGGGCGCGGGCATCACGGCAGCCAGGAGACTAGCAGTGTAAACCCCGGGTGTTGGGCTGCCGTCACCCTGCAGCAGCGGGGGTAGAGCAGGTGGGACGGGAGCCCACGGATCCGGGAGCACACGAGGCAGACGTCTTGGCAGGGCTGCTTTCCGCCTCCGCCCCGAGCCATCTCCTTCGTGGAGATCCACGCACGGGGAAGTTCAGTGTTTCTCCAGGTCCTCGAGGTGTAAAATGGCAAAAACGGGAACTCCAGCTGCTTCTCTGGCGCACAAGCTGAGCCGTTCTCAGTAGCGTTTTGGACTTGGGGTCGGCAGTGCACGTCGGCGTCACTCAGGGAGGGCGTTCAGGACACGCGGGCCCGGGCCGCAGCCCCAGGGCTTTTGGTCCAGGAGGTCCGGGGTGGGCTCTGAGGGTGCACCGCAAGCCTCCATCCGAGAGTCAGCTGCGCCCCTCTCCCCCGGGGGGTGCCGTGTAGCTGGTGGCTGTGCTGTAGGGAGGACCTGGTGTTTAAGGAAGTCCCCGTGTCCCAGGTGACCGTCATTTGCTAATAGAATTGTTCCTTGGAGTCAGTGATAGAAACCCAGGGCTGCGAGGTGCAGAGAGTTTCTTCCCATGGGGTGAGAAATGTCAGCATGAGTGACAGGAAAAGTACCTTGAAGGACATCAAATAGGTCACTGCACTTACCTGCGTTCACTGGAAGTTCTGTATCTCGTTAGTTGCGCTGCATGACGTGACTGCGGGGAGGACTGTGGTGTCACTTCTGACAGAACCTTTTGTTGGCTTGTTTGTTCCAAATGACATAACAAGGACGTTAAACTCGGCCAACGAAGCTCTGTTGCTCTTTCTCGCAGACGGTTCTGACTCCAGGGACAAGCCGAAGCTCTACCGCCTGCAGTTAAGTGTTACCGAGGTGGGGACAGAGAAACTCGACGACAGCTCCATCCAGGTACGCGCCCCACGCATCCTTCGTGACCTCTCGTCTCAGTGGGCACTAGTGCACGGCAGCGAGTGAGTGGTGGGGAAAGAGGTCAGGGACTCACGCGTTAGTGCTGACGGCCTGCTCACGCCGGTCACTCCTCCCTGCTTCGTGGAGAGACCACCGGGCAAGTTTCTGCCCATGCCCTGAGTCTGTTCCCTCCTCTCTGGAAGAGGGTGATGGTTTTGCAGGTCTGTTCCACAGCCAGCCTCTGTGGAAACACCTGTCACTGGGCTGGTACAGCAGGAGACGGTAAGTTGCAGTTAGACTGTTAGCTGAGCACACGCTCAAGCGCTTACATAGAACCAGGTGTACGCGTTCTGTGAGCATAAGCTGGGGCCGTCGCTCCATCGACGTTGAGCCCACAGTCCTGCCTCATCTGTCCTCGTCACCTGGCCGTCATACGGTGGCCGCTGCTGTCGTGCTGTCTGACACGCTTTCCTCCTGAGCACAGCAGCACAGCAGCACAGCAGACACATAACAGTTTGTCATCATCAGTGGTCTGTGTACATCTATCCATTGAATTATCTGTTTCAGTCGTGACCATTTGCTTTTTAATGCAAAGTTACAACATACCTTAAATGAAGTTGCTGGTTACTAAAAATAAAATGTTCAATTATTTTTACAGTGTTTAATTATTTTATACTATTGGTAGAAAAGTCACTAAAAACGGCACCAAAAACGCAGTTTATTAGGTCAAGTTCATCATAACAGGGGAAAGCAGCTTTAAGATTCTGTTTTTAAGTGCCCTGCACTTTATGATGGCAGCTTCTTTGACTTTCTTTTACTTGCAGTTGTTTGGTTCAGGAATTCAGCCCCATCACTGTGACCTCACGAACATGGACGGCGTTGTCACGGTCACGCCGAGAAGCATGGACGCCGAGACCTATGTGGAGGGGCAACGCATCTCGGAGACGACCATGCTGCAGAGCGGGATGAACGTGCGGTTCGGGGCGTCGCATGTGTTCAAGTTCGTGGACCCGAGTGTGGACCACGCCCTCACTAAGAGACCTGTGGATGGCGGCCTGACCGCGAAGGGTCCCCGACACAAACCTGGGTAATCCATTGGGCACGTCAGCGCCGAAAACCACATGGCGTTTTTCATTACGCTCAAAGTTTTCTATTAGCTATAGATCGCGTGTTTTTTTGTTTTGTTTTAATGTTTAAAAATTCGAAGTGGGGTTTGTGGTTCCGGTTCCTGTTGATTTGGTTGCTTTCAGGGGGAAGAAGGCAGAAAAGTCTCGATTTTATGGTAACACTGGAAGTCGTCGCTGGTCTTTAAGTTATCTTTAAATTTTGTTTGTATTTGATACTTTAAGACCATACTTTATTTGTTCTTTTGTGATGAATTGTGGTGTCTGTGTAACGGTCCTGTGTGACAGGTTCTTGCTGAGGTGTTTCTTCTGGATTGCTGCACACAGCCGGGTCTCTTTAAGTTCAGGTGTTTTAGCTCCCCCTAGCGCCTGTCCGAGGGCTTGCAACGTGGGCCTGTTAGCAAAACCTTTCTGGGGAGGGAGTAAGACTTGTCTTGGTGATGACGTTTAAAAAGAACACCCTGTTGAGCTACTTGGTCCTCCTCCATGCCACAGGCCGACAGGGCGCGAGTCTTGGAAAATGCGGGAGCTCTTCTGCCCTGCCGTTGGATGCAATCAGAAAGTCCTCCTCGCAGACGGAGCAGCGTGTCGGTGGCCTTGCTGCCCTCCTGCCATTTCGTCCTAGGACCTACCTCGCCTCAGCCACCCGGAGCTTATACCTTGGGCCAGCGTTCATGTTGCTCTTTTGACAGTTTGTAGACGCTGTAAATCCTACCTTGATTGTTCCTGGCAGGTTATCTGTGAACTGACTCGCTTTCCATTTTGAATCTGGGCAGAGGGAAAGGGTAACAGGCAGCAAGCACCGTTGAGACTTAACGTCTTGCTCCCGGGTGAGCCCCTGTGGGCCGTCTGGACGTTGGACCTTGCGGGGGCCCTTGCGGTCGTCTGTTCCCAGCCCCTCACCTTGCTCTCCAGGTTTCAGCAAACCACAATACGTCCTTGTTCCCAAAGAGAACCAGCATGTGCCTCTACCGTCTGCTTCTCACGAGCGCCCCTTGCTGGACTCCTGCGTCCAGCTTGAACTGAGTGTGATCTAAACTCACCCTTCCGTTCTGAGTCTGGGGGCCCTGTATTGACAGTCCTTTCTTAGGGTTCTGCTGACTTGTCACCTGCCTCCGCCTTTCCTGTCCCTCGCCATAACCGTTCCCTGGGCTCTCCCTTCAGCACACAGTCGTGCTGTGGCTTCCTTCCCGCACCAGACACCAGATGTCTTGACGGCATGACACGGTAGCCTTGCCTTCTGCCTATCCCCGGGGGGGAATCCCTGACGAGGTCATCATGTGGGGCAGTTTCTTCCGCTGTGCTGTACTTGGTCTTTCTGTGGTACCTGCTGTTGCCTCGTTTGCGATTGTGCTACGTTTGCATTCACATCGCATTTATCTCGATGGTGTTCGGGATGTCGCTGCCATGTCCATCCTGTGTGTGAGCCTGACCCTGCGTTAGGGACCCTGCCACCACTGGTTGCTCCTTCCCATTAGCTCTCTGGCGATGTGAGTAAGTCGGTCTCCTGTCGTTTAGCCACAGTGGTTTCTGCTTCAGAGGCTTCGATCACATCTCTGGCCAAAGGCAGAGATCACAGAAGAATGTGACTTAGGTTGCAGTGGGGGAAATGCGCTCTGAAATTTCATTTTTTTTATTACGTCTTTTTCCCGAAAAACTAGTGAAAAATGCTTAGTGGTTGAATATACCATCACTTAATTTAATCTATAAATTAAAAATAATCATTTTGTTTCAATGACAAAACATTACACAGATTTTTGGTAGAGGGACCCACGTAGCTTTCATATATATATATTTTAAATTGACACATAGCATTATGAGAGTTTCAGGTGTACAGCATGCTGACACCGCATTTGCGTGTACTGTGAGGTGGTCACCACAGTGAGTCTGGCTAACAGTTGTCACCACACCTAGTTGCAGGTTTTTTAATTTCTTAATGAGAACTTTTAAGGTTTACTCTCAGCAGCTTTCAGATACGCAGCACAGTATTATCGAGTATGGTCACTGTGCTGTACCTTACATCCGCATGACACTTAATTTATAACGGGGCGTTTGTACCTTCCGACCCATTTTGCCCACCCCTCACCCCCTGCCTCCTGCGACTGTCAGACCGTTCTCCGTATCTGTGAGCTCAGGTTTTGTTTTTAGATTCCACATATAAGTGAGAACATATGGTATTTGTGTCTGATCTAGCATAGTGCCCTCTGGGTCCACCCATGTTGTCACAGATGCCAAGATTCCTTCTTAATGGCTGAGTAATATTTTGTTGCACATATATACACACTACATTTTCTTTATCCATTTATCCTCAGATGGACACTTATTTTGTTTCTATGTCTTGGCTGTTGTAAATCATGCTGCAGTGAACATGGGGGTGTGTATGTCTTTTGGAGTTAGTGTTTTCACTTTCTTCAGATAAACACCCAGGAGTGGAATTGCTGGATCATATGGTAGTTCTAGTTTTAAGGGGTTTTTTTTTTTTTTTTTGAGAATTTTTCTAAGAGTTTATTTGAGCCAAATAGATGACATACGCCATGGAGCAAGATCTCACGCTCTGGAGAATAACAGTCTTTCAGCTTCTTTTATGCATTTGAAATTAAGGAGGGAACGTGAGATTACATGAAGGTGGGAGAAAGCAAGTTACTCGCTCTCTAGAAGAGAGTTAACAAGGTTCTGTGTTCTTTTACGTTTATTTCCAAGGCTGTACTAAGGGGCAGGGCTGGCCTAGGGCAGAGGGAAGCCTGTTAGTAAAAGGTGATGGGCCTGGGGCGGGCCTGCCCACCGTGACCCGCCCTGTTAGGAGTTTATGATCAGATCACCCTGCGAGCTTACTTTCCACAGAGTCCCATTTTTTTGTGCTCAGTTCCCCCTTTTGGTCATAAATCAGTCTGAAGGATGCACTGATGACCAAGCTTTTGGTCGGATAGTGTGGTTTCAGCAACACGAGGGAGGCCCGTTTCTAGGCAGTTGCGGTAGCCACGTCATTGTCTTGTGTTTGACTGTTGGGGGTGGGGCAGTGCTGGAACCATGGCATCTGAGCTAAAGCTGGATTTTCCCAAAATGGGAAGGGCAGATAAATAAAAAGCAGTCAGGTCTTCTGGCTTTTACTGTAAAAACAGACGAACAGACAGACAAACAGCACTCTGGACCACTTTCGCTTTATGAGCCGTCATGGCCCCGGTTTCGCCTGTCTCATTTTTCTGTCTTTGGCATCTAGCGTGACATCAGCGTAAGCCACGAAAAGAGTGTGAACGGTTATACGTGTTCTGTAATCACCAACAACTGGGCCGTACAGGAAAACCCATTAGCAGCAGGTAAAAGCGAGCACAGGTTCTGAGCTCAGTGTCTGTCTGTAGGTGCACAGGCCTCGTCACTGTCTCAGGGGAGCCAGCTATCTCTGGCGGCAGCAACGTCTGATTCTCAAGGCGTCTCTGATGTCCGTAGTCAGGGGTAGATGTCCATTCGCGGTTAGGTGCCCGACGAGGTCGGGTCCAGCGAGGCTGGAGAGTGTCATTGATTTGATGACCTTCCCTAAGACAGCGGTAGCTGAAGTCTTTGTCCCCTCGTTCCCCGTGGGAGGACGCAGCCACCAACGTGGCCTTGTCTCGAAGTGACTGCATCCGACCTTGGCAGTAGTGTAAGGGGTCCCTTTTCAGTAACGTCAGCTTACAAGTCCTTCCATCTAATGTAAGTCCAGCTTAAGTGCACTGTGATGCGTGGAGGAGACGAAGTCCAGGCTGCGGAGAGGCAGGGAGCAGGGCCGAGCCCCAGGTGGCCCCCGGCGGCCCACATGGCTGGGTCAGTGTGTAGCCACTGTCCACACCCCCAGTCTGCTCTTCAGGGTTTCATCACTCACTCGGCAGTTTTAATCTCTCAAGGGGCGCTTCAGAAACACCACAAAGTTATTCCTACATATACTGAGATTTTAACCCTTAAAACCTCAACGTCTAGTGAAAACTAAGAAGCAATCAATTAGCATTCTTTAGCTTGGATGTTTTATAACGTCTAGAAACATTTTTCATAAACATCAAAGTCAGTTATTAACATGCACTTATTTTTGTAAAACCCACGCAGCATAAAGACAGGTTGGTTTTACTTAGATCATGTAAACTTGGAAAGCATTTCAGTTAATTTCTGTTGTTTCTAAGAATTTTGAAGTTCCAGTAGTCAAGTGCTTGTTTTAAATTTTAACAATACCATCCAGAGGTAGAAAATTCTCTTGCATTTACAGCATACACTTATAGACATACACAGTCACATAGAGCACAGTTGGATCCAAATTTTGCCGAGGCATTTACAATTTTTATGTATCCTTGACAAGTCAAGCTCCAAAGGACCTTCCCTGTTTTAAAATAAGGACAGCCATTTTTAATACCTCAAAGAATTGCGTTGACACGTAAACAACAGCATAAGTCAACCTATTTGTCCAAACTCTCTTTTTGAAGCTTTGAGAGACCAATTACATACGTTTTCCATTCTATTGTGTAGCTGGCTTTTTCTGATTGTACGAGCAGAGATTAGTGCAGAGGCATCAAAGGATCCTCCTCCTGGCCATCTCGGTATTAATGGGAGGCTATCGTGGGCTCGTGGGCCTGGGAGACACTATTTTGCATGTTAATTTTGAACAAACGTCTGGGGAAACCAGCCGACCATGCACACTGGCAGGTGAGCCTCGGCGTGCGTGTCCCTGTTGGGTGGGCCCCCAGAGCTGCTTAGTCACCAGGAATACCGGAGCAGGGGCCAGCTGGAGCCCTTAGTCACCAGGAATACCGAACCGTGACGCTGTCCAAAGTCCCTATCTGGGCGGACACAGTGCAGGCGCCCTGCTGTCCCCCAGGACCCCACTGGCTTCTCTGGATGGGCCCGTGTAGCTCTGGATGGTTCTATGTAGCTCTGGACAGCTGCCCGCAGCTCTACCCCCAGGCTCTGCATTTGAACGGTCATCGCCACCCCCGTGGCTGTTGGGGATGAGGAAGCTCTGCGGTCTCTTCTTGGGAACGAAGGGAGCTTTTCCTTTATTATTTCTTTCAATTTAATGTTTTCAAATATAGTTTCAAACGGGATCCTAAGATGTTGAGTGTGCGTAAGTTCATGAAGTTATGACTGTGACTTATCGAGAGTTATTAATTGTGGGCGTTTGTTTTATCCTGACAGAGTTGTTCAGGAGACAGCTTTTGAGTTCGGAGGAGACGTGCATAGTGGAATGGCGTTACCAACAAGCAAGGTAGGTGCCCGCGGGCCACCTGGCGGGCTGCACGGGCTGGTGGCGGTGACTCACAGGACGCATGCAAACGGGCCTCAGGCGCTCTCCACCTGTGGGGGCCCTGATCTGCCAGACAGCAGGCAGGATCATCCCCAAGGGCGGGAAGGTGTGCCTTATCCCGGGGCCAGGGCCTGTGTCGTGGGCCCCTCCCGTGTGTAACAGCCCTTGGTCAGGTGGCCCGACCACGATGGAACCCTGCTCTCCTTAAGCCCCTGCCTCCTCAGGCACTTTGCCTCCGCGCTTAACCCTCATCTCTCGCACAATCAGTTTATTTCTGCCCTCATTTTGGTTATCTCTTTCTGGGAAACAAACACCCCAAAACTCAGGGACTATATCAGCAGCCATCTCCTGTACTTAGTCTGTGCAGTGTGGACACACCTGGGCAGGTGGTTTCTCGCGTGGCTGTGCCACTGGCGGGTTGGCTGGTGGCCAGGCCGTGCTGGGGCCAGGGACTGCGGGGCTTCCGTCTCCGCCTTCCCAGGTCTGCTTCGTGGGACCCCTCGCCCCATTGTCTGTGGGGGCCACCAGCTATTGGGGGCCTTGCAGGAACCGGGGATTCACGGGTGTCCTTCAGCCTGGGCCGCAGCTGGCCCCGCACTGACTTGCCACGACACAGTGGCCGGAGCGCCGCCAGGCTCCACCCAGGGCAGGGGCACTGGCAGCAGCTTCACTGAGGCAGTGACGCAGCAGACTCCAGTCCTGGGATGGGGATAGAATGTGCTGCGGTACCCCGTTTTAAAATCCCCTGCTGTGTCCCCCAACTACTGCACCCCCTTCTCCTGCTTACAGCGTGAGAGCTTGAAGAAATGATCCCCAGTTGCCAGGTCCACCCCCTGTAACTCCCGTTTCTCCATGACTCCAGTGGCTCCTGCTCCTCCAAGGGCCTGTGTCTGTCACAGGCTCTGACGCCCGTCCAACGCTTGTTTTCTGTCCATGTGTCTCGGCTGGGTCACCCCCACTGCATGGCGCACGTCCTTCTGTCAGCTTCCAGGCGTCTCCCACGTCATCACTCGTTAGTCCTTCCTCCCCCGCGGGTCTGGGGAGGGGCGTTGGCCCCAGAGCCCTCCCTTCGGTTCACCGTGTCGCCTGGGTGGGCTCCCACGGCCGCCCCGGATAGAGTGGCGTCTGTGTTGCCGCCTGCCCGCCTTGCCCTTGATCTCTTCGTACTCCAGACGCTGCTTGACACGTCCATGGGGATTTCAGATTTACCAGAGCAAAGACGGGCTGCATTTCTCTTCCACGTCGTCCTCCCCCGCCCGCTTCCCCACCTCGGCACGTGGTGTCCCCATCCGCAGTGCTGGCACAGGGCGTCCTCCGCGCCTTGCCTTCTCTCAGCCTTTGCGCCGGGCCCGGCGGGCGGTTCGCTCTGCCTGTGAGGCCGGCCGTCCTTGAGCGTCTGCCTCCCTGCGTCGTCACCGAGAGGCGGAGCGTGGCAGAGTGCCCGGGCCTCCTTGGGGAGCAGCCCATCCTCTGTTCCCCCGGCTCGCCGTGCCCCAGCAGCCGGGCTGGCTCGAGGGCTGTAATGAGACCCCATTCCTGGCCTGCGTTCAGAGCGCCCAGTGACTTCTGATGGTGCCACAGCCTTCACTGTGGCTCATGCGGCTCCTCACGGCCTGGCCCCCTTTCCTGTCAGCGTGTGGTGCGGCCACACGGCTTCCGGCCCCCGAGCACCCGCCGCCGGAAGGCCCGCCGCGTCTCCCTCCCCCTGCTCCCTGCGCCCCCTCCTGCCTCGGACCTGGCTTCAGTCCCCTCCGTGAAGGAGGCGGCCCAGGCGGCCAGGCACCGTTACCACAGCGCAGTTTAAGTTCTTTGGGCGCCGTTCCTCCCGTCTGGCTCTTCCCGCTTGCCGGCCGTCGGGCAGGGAGCTCTGAGGCGCGGCTCGTTCTGGCCGTGCTCGCTTCCGGTGCTTCCAGTGCCTGCAGTGCTTCCGGCGCTTCGGGCGCTTCGGGCGCTTCCGGCGCTTCCGGCGCGCAGCCTGCGAGCGGGGTGCGTGAGTCTCAGGGCTAGTTGAGTGACTGACCGAATGAACGCTCGCAGAACCAAATGTGACTCTTTATAAAAATTTGACTTTATAAAATGTAGGGTCAGCAAAGAAAACTTGGTAAATTGGAAAAAAGTGAAAACCAGCCACAATTTAAAGTTGGCTATTGGTAACATTTTGGTGGATCGTTTTCTGAACTCTGTGTGCATGTACGCGCGTTCATGTATACAGGTGACGCAACTTAATTTCTACCTACACGCACACACGCACACACATCCCTTTCTGTCCTATTTCCTGTGGCTGTTATTTTATAAGGATTTACTTTGAAAATCACTTGAAACAAGCTAAAAATGTTTCGTAATGTGTTAGCTTATAAACGTGCCATGATTTATTTATTGCCTTATTGTTCACTTAAAACAATAGTTTGAAGTCTTAAGTATTGCCATCCACTGAACTAGCAGTTTTGCTTTTATAAGTATGTCTTATGGAAGTAATTATTGTGTATAAACACATAACACATTTCCAAGCACAATTGTAATGGCACTATACTGATGAACATTTTTTTTTTTTTTATGCCTACAGCACCTGGTATTCCCAGGCGGTCTTCCATCCAAGTACTAACCAGGCCCAACCCTGCTTAGCTTCCGAGATCAGATGGGATCAGGCATTTTTGGGGTAGCATGGCTGTAGTCCTGATGAACATTTTAAACAACATAAAGGATTGGTTTAACGAGCTTTGACTAGATGACAAAATGCAGCCATTACAATTCTGTAACACAAACATGTATAATGTTTACAAAATATGAAAATATTTTTTTTACAAAGCAAGTTATATAATCTCATTTATAGAAATGTAAAAAATTAGAGGCATACAACACAATATTAATCTCTAGTTGGTAAGACAAAGGTGATTTTTATTTACTTATCTCTGCTCAATTCTTGCAGCAAACAGATGTAATGAGAAAGCTTACATAAAATTTTCGCCACAGTAGATTTCTTCACATAAATGTATTAATTCTGCTCTGATTGTTTTCTTAATGTAGGTAGCACATCTTTTTTGTCTGCCATAGGTCGGTTAGGGACGTGCACTATTTGGAAGGGTTTAAATGTACTGCATCAGATTGCTATATATGTGTATTTTCCCGTGTTGACTAAGGGCAAGAAATAAAGCAGTTTTCGTACTGAATTCTTCATTAGGTATTGAGCTGTGATGACTAGACTCTAAAATCCTTTCTTAAAAGTAACAAAACAAGTCCCTAACTAACTCTTCCTATTGTGCATATTCTCTCAGCTTATCCTGATTGAAGAGAACTTTTTGGAATACAGTCACTATTATCCCTGTGCTTTTGAAGAACCCGTGTCTGTATGTACTACTTTTGCGTGTCTGTGTTTTAAAGCGATCTGGCTCTGGAGAGGAAAGTGGCTGTGTGCTCTATGGTTCTTTAACGATAGATGGCACGTCCTTGGGTGTGCCGTGTGGACCCGCCGTCCACAGCATGCGCTGTCTTCCTGGCCTGCGCTCCCTCCACGTCCCTCTCTCGTCCCCCTGCGTGGCAGCCTCGTGTCACGTCTTCACCCGCAGCACAGGGCGCAACGCTCGGCTGGTCTGCGCAGCGTGTTAAACACCCCGTGTTTTCTCCTTGGCCTAGAGCACCACTAGACTGGACAGCGACAGAGTCTCGTCTGCCTCCGGCACAGCCGAGCGAGGGATGGTGAAGCCAGTGAGCCGGGTCGGACAGCAGCCGGATTACCGCAGGCAGGAAAGCAGGTGGGAAGAAGCGACAATATTTCCAGAGAGGGTTTGGAATAAAGATGATTGAATCTGTAGCGTTTAGCCGACATTTCTAGAATGTTAGCAACATTTTTAAGAGTATCTCTTCATGTTATTATTGACTTGGAAAAAAATGTTTCATCAACAGTTACATCCCTTACTTATATGCCACAGCGTTACCCAGTTGAAACAGGTGTGTTGAATTAAAACATTTGTTTTGAATGTGCTACTCTGTGAAAACATAATGGAGAGAGTATTTATAGGATTTTAATACTCAATTACATACTTACATAAAACTAGTCATTTTACTCATTTTTGGAAGAAATCCTCACATGTTTAAAAAAAATAAAGCCAAAACTGATTTTGAGGTAGAGTGTTTTAAGTTATTCAGTGCCACATGGCTTTGTCTTGTGCTCTGATGTGTCTCCTCATTGAGATAGCTGGGGATGAATTATTTTTTCGCATTGTTCTTTCTTAGTTTTTTTTAAACAGAAAACTTCTTCGTTGTTTCCTTATCTTATGATTTTTAAATTATATGGCACCTTAATAAATCAGAATTTTACTTCCTTGTGACCTGAGTTTGTTTAAATGTTGAAAACTTAACATTTTCAACACTGCCTGAAACATGGTAGCTAACTCACGGACAGTGACTTCTTGTAGCCGGTCAGCTGGTGCTGCCATTTCGGTTGTCTAAACCTGTCCCCGTTGTAGGCCATTGCTGGTTTTCTTTCATTTTTGAAGGTTTTTTGTTTTTCTTTTTTTTTTTTGAACAAATTTATTTAATGAGTGGACATACCAGATTATTAAATCACAGACATGCCCTGTGCCGAGCTTCTGTGCTGCAGGGAGGGTCCCCAGCGCTGGGACAGAAGTCGGGGCAGCAGCACGGGCGTCTCAGCGTGTTCTCAGCAGCGGTGGGACTGGGAACCTTCGCTTGCTGGTGCTGCGCTGTTCAGATTTTTAATGAGTCCCTCTCACAGACCCAGTAACTGAGGCGTTAGCCGATGCAAGTGACTGGCCCAAGGTCAGTGTCACTTTGGAGACAGGCCATTGATACAGTTCTTTAATTTTCCAACTTCCACCAGAGGGCAGTGTATATCATACGATTTTAATATTCATCACGGTAATTAAATTTATAGATTGATATGGGAATCTCATGTTTTTACCTTGTTTTTATTTTGGGCTTTTGGTTATTATTCAGAATTTTTGTTGCATATGTAAGTAGTCTACTCTCTGTGTCTGTACTTGTTTTTGGTGGTGTATTCTAGAATAAGATGTTTGGAATTGTAATTCAGTATTGGAAGGAGTATCTGTTTATAAGGTGATAGAGGGACATGCATCATAGTTCTGAGCCCGTAAGTGTTTGAGTCAGTGAATGAATCAGGACCTGAGAGGAAAGATGGATTATGATAATGCTTTTAGGATGTCTGAAATTTGTAAGTACGCATAGTTAATAAGTAATAGCTACATATGGCGATTGATTATATGCCAGAAATTATCCTGTGAGCATTTATTTTAATTAATTTTTTTCAAGGCCAGATTATTTTGCTCCACAAAGACTTAAAGGTTTTACTTGAAGTATAAATATGTGTTAGTTGATGTTAAGACAGTGACGCAAACAGATGGTTCTTTGTATTTTCAGCCTTTGAGGTATACTGCATATGTACATCACGTATACAATGTTGGTGTAAGCAGTACTTAATTTAATCGATAGATTTGTAGAATTTTAAGTCACTTTAATAAAAATGTTTAAAATACTAATTTTAGTCAAAGGAAAAATCTTTTTGAATGATGAGAATGACTAAATTTTCACAGACACTTGTATTTTTTCAATGAGATTTTAAATTCCCTTATTTTCACTAAATTTGTTAAATTGATGAGACATGAAGACTTGGTAAATTTACCCAGGATCATTCATGGACAGTAAGTTGAGAAAGACTGCTTCCCTGGAGTTTTCGGTGTCTGTAAACATGGCAGAGTAAGAAACATATTAAAATAATTGAGCATTTCTATTGTGTGTAAGAGCGTTTTTACATCTAAATTGTCAAATTAAATCCAAATTATTAAATCACAGACTGCATGAACTTTGAAGCATAAACTGGAGGGACGGATTTTTGTTTTTACCTGCAGCAATGATCCTAGCTTGAGTTGCCTTTTCTCCTAAGTCACCGATTGGTGCGTGGGAAGATGAGGGTGGAGGGTGGAGGCCTTTGTTGCTGGAAAGGAACTGCCATTTTGGTTGTCTAAACCTGTCCCCATTGTAGGCCGTTGCTGGTTTTCTTTCATTTTTGAAGGTTGTTTTTTTTTTGAACAAATTTATTTAATGAGTGGACATACCAGTGATTCTAAATACTTAATTCTGGCAGATTCACTATTATTTGCCTGAGATTAATAGACTTAAATGTTGCTGCTGAAAATGACTCATTTTAAATCACCAAGTGCAGATATCCTGATACCGTGTTGACTCTCCGTTTCACCATGCAGAAGGATTTGAGTCAATATTGACCTCAATTTGGTTTGAGCCGACATTTAATTCAATAGATACTTCCATTCTAGGATAAGTCATTGCAATCCCGTCCCCACCATTTAATTTTCAGATAACTTTGCAGAAGGCAAAACACGTCAGTCACATACATTTTAGAAAGTCTCCTCTTACTAGCGGCTTTTGGGGTTTTTTGTCCACAGTACAATGTCCTGCACTGCACCGTGGTGCACGCACACCTGCGTGTGCACACAGCCACAGCTCAGAGGACTTCACGGAACAGGGCCTGCCTGACAGCCTCGCAGTGCGGGCCCACCCACTGTTTGAAGAACTCTATAGTAGAAATTCCTACCCTTTGAATTAACTTGGTCCTGAACACCTTGGAAATACATGAACATTAGTACAGTGCCAGTTCTTAGAAATGTTCCAAATTATGGTTTTTCTTCGTTTTTGGCAGTTCTTAGTTTGTGTAGTCAGGCTGAGTGATGAAAGTGCCTGGAATGTATTTTTTTGCCTTTAAGGAGGAGCATAAGTAGGATCTCTTTTTTTAAGGCGTGGATCGTTGTGATCGTTGGAAAGTGCTAGGCCAGTGGCAGAAGGGATCCTTGGGGATCGTCTGCACAGCCTCTGTCAGGATGGGAGGCGGGGGCCAGCGCTCGGGGAGGGCCTCTCTCGCGTGGAGGAGAGCTCGGTTCCAGCCCCCTGTGGCGTAGATTTCCTGGTCTCCTGTGTCTCCACTGTCACTCGAGCCTTTGCTGTGGCAGGTGCCCAGCGGCCTGGTCTCTGCTCACACGAGGTCTCGTTAATAATGGATAGTCGCGGTCGGGATGCGGTGCCCCCAGCACGGGCCTCCGAACATCCCGGGCAGATGTGTGAAACAAGGCATTGGGCTGCTGATTGTTTCAAAACCGCTGATTTCAGATTCGAAAACGAGTTGCAGAAATCTGCACAGGTTGCCAGCAATGTTGTTAGCCAGGTGACCCGATTTTAAGAGACGACAACTTTCTCGTTTCAGGAGTCAGGATGCTGCTGGCCCCGAGCCCACGCTACCTGCGAGCATCGAGTTCCGCGAGAGCTGTGAGTGGCCTCAGACCCCGTTGTTAGCGAGTTATTTCTTGTTCATTTTTCTCCATCTGATTTTCATGTTTTTTTTGTTTCTGTTCTTTTTTTTTCTTTTTTCTTCTTTTTTTGAAATCTTTTCACAGCTGAAGATTCATTTTTATCTGCCATTATAAATTATACTAATAGCTCTACAGTCCATTTTAAGTTGTCACCTACATATGTATTATACATGGCATGTCGGTATGTATTGTCGAGCCAGTACAGACCCGATGTCAGTCCTACAGAGCGTACTCACAAAGTGATTGCAATAGTCAACAGGATGGTGAGCATGATGGAAGCAGTGATCCAGGTAAGCTGCAGCCTGCAGAGCCGTGCCGCGTCAGTGACTGTGGTTGTAACTTGCGTCAATTAAGTCCGTTTCTTTAATGTTTCAGATTTGGTTCTATGTTTGACTTGAGGATTTTTTCCCAAAATAAAAGTTACAGAAAGTATATTGAAAACTGTATAGTTTTAAAAGTTGGAAAGAAATGTAAACTTTTTCCTATTTCTTTTCTGCAAACTTGAGAATAAGGGAAGATAAACTGTGTATGTGGTGACATAATGATCTTGAAAAAGATCCTTAAAATTATAACAGTTGTTTCGAGAAAGTATGTGATGGAATTTTTTAAAAAATAATTTATTGAGATGAAATTCACATAAACATTTACCATTTTAAGGTGTGTAATCCGGTAGCATTTGCTACATTCCGAGTGTTGTACAGCCACCACCTGGTAGGTTCCGAGCATTCCCACCGCTCCAGCGTAAAGCCCTGTGTCCATCCAGCAGCCCGTCTTAGAGCTCCTAATAGCCGTAAGGCACTTGCTCTTCTATGACGAGCCTCCTGAGCTTCTGGAGGTCGGCTGGCTTCTTGCTCAGGCTCCTGTGGGTATGATGACATCATGACATTTCTCATGATGAAACTCAGGGTCAGATTTTTGCGTAAATCTGTTTCGAAGATTTCAGGAAGTAACAGTATTCTCTGGGTAGAATGGTTTGTTTCTTTTAGGTTCTCTCTTTGGTTGATAAATTGGCATAGCGGTTTTCTGAACTTAAAGTTAACTTGATAATTTAATCTTAAAGTAAAATTACAGATTTTTCAGTTTTCCTAAATCACGTGTCAACGCTGTTATTCAGCTATAAAACTAGTACGAATTAATGTTAAGCGACATGATTAGATGGTTAGGTTGTTTTTCTCCTGTCAGGATAGTGAGGCAGACTAATCTTTTAATTCCCTCAGAATTGTTTTAAAAGGCCAAAAGTTTTTAAGAAATGTTTCCTTTGCCTTGAGCCGTTAGCATATGAATTTGACGGGGTTAAGAACCTTTTACCCACTGAGGATGGAGATGGAAGGGAAGCCGTCTCATCTGAGTTCCATTTGTCACTCTCTAAACAAACATGATTTCCTTTCCAGTTGTCATTCAGAGCCATCGTCTGTCCTCCATAACATTTGAATTTCTAAAGCCTATTTCAAATTATGGAATTCCTGTCATCAAACTACTTTTGATAGGCTTTTCCATGTTAAATTTGAACTAGTCGCTGAAATCACCATTATCAAAACAGGTCTATTAAACTTCACGTTTAGGTTTAGTATATGATTGGAGGAATCTCAATGTTTTAGGAAAAAACTATGGTAATAAGTAATTTAAAATCTTTAATTCGCAAAAACCTACTTTCAAAAAGCCGTTTACTCCTTTTTAGTATAGGCATAAGTTTTTACACACTTTTAAGTTCTCTCGACTGTCATTTTTTTGTTCGTTTGTTTCTGTCAGTCTTCCCGTCTCTTTCATTCTCAGGAGTTAATCAGAGAAGAGACGCACCTTTCAGACTTAAGCAGTCAGACTCACAGCTTCGCTAGGGCGTCCCCACGTCCCTCCTTTGTGTATGTTTTAAAGAGATCAGCACATTCACGTGTTAATTGTAACATCTTCATAGGTAAACTCTCTAGGATTCAGTCAGTGATTGTCCCAGTGTTCACGTAAAACTAGTCCCTTATGTCACATGCTCCAAGAGCTGCTTCGGATCCACAAACAAAGTGTAATTCGGGAAGAACAAAATAGATGTTGTGCCTTCATGTCTTGCCTCGTGTTAGTGTTTTGATTTTTTTGAACTGTCACGATTGTTTACAAGTTTCTTTCTCTCGTTCTGCTCGATTCCCCTCGTCCGTTTTTCTCCAGGAAGTAGACCAGGTTGACCAGGTAGGCTCTGCTGCTGGGGGCTGACCCTGGCTGTGTTGGCTTTAGCTGAGTTTCTCATGCTGCTTCCATGTCAAACACAACACTGCAGCAACTGGACTGAGCAGCTCATAACACTCATTCAGCAGCTGAAACATGCAGTACTAAAACCCTTTTTCGACTGTGCAACCTTTACCAGCATTTCATAATTTCCGCTTAATGCACTTCAGTGTGGATATGACATGACAAAAGCCCTATTTCTTCTCTTGATTGTTGATCCTTGGTTCCTCTTCTTTGGAGCTCATCTGAGGTTGCCTGGCCTGCACATGTGGTCGGGAGAGGAGGTGACAGATCAGCACGTGATACCGAGTTGCCTGGCGTCCATGCCAGTGGCTGCGAGTATCAGGGTGGCTGTGGGTAGCCGTGGATACGTGCGTGTGCTTCACAGATTACCAGATAATGCAGTTTCCAATTCGATGGTGTATGATTTGCTATCTCCACGTCTCCATAGATTCCATAAATTTTAGCTAATTGGACCCGTATGTCTATCCACAAATCCTAAGAAGAAGTTGCAGTGGTTACTCGCTTTCCATTGCTGTGCATACACCCAAATTCCTTTGCCGGTATCTGGTATCTGTGGCAAATACCTCGGTGGACACGGGAAGGCTCTGGGCTATTGGCGGCTTTTCAGGAGCGTTCCTTTTTGTCGTCGTTACGTTTGTTTGCCCTGGAGTTGCTTACGGAGGTGTGTTCTGTCTGCAGAAACAGAAGAATATTGCCGGGGCACTGGCCTTTTGGATGGCAAATGCGTCCGAACTTCTCAACTTCATTAAGCAGGACCGAGATCTGAGCCGAATCACGCTGGACGCCCAGGATGTTTTGGCACACTTAGTTCAGATGGCGTTCAAGTAAGGAGCATGGTTTTAGAGGTGACGCTGTTCTATAAAGACTTAAATCGTATGTTTCCTTGGTAAATTTTCAAAACTGATCTTAAAGGTATCCTAATTAAAGACGAATATCAAGAAGTGTAAATAACTACATGTGGAATGTGCCGACTTAGTGGATTAAATTCAATGAGCTGGGTTTCGTAAACCCTGAGAGGAAAACTTATATTTTCGAGTCGGATAGTTGTAGCTGCACGCGCTGTTTCGCATGGGGTGGCGTGGCTGCCAGCAGCAGCGTGTCGCGCTGACACCGCTGACGACGTTCACCTGTCTCCAGGTACCTGGTGCACTGTCTGCAGTCCGAACTGAACAATTACATGCCCGCCTTTCTGGACGACCCCGACGAGAACAGTCTGCAAAGACCAAAGATAGGTTAGAATTTCCACTTTCTCCTTCCTCCCTGCCTTCCGTCCTCCCTCCGCCCAGCTCTCCCTCCTTCTCTCCCTCTCTCCTTCCCTCCCTCCTTCTCTCCCTCCCCTTTCTCTCTCTCCTGTATCCCTTCATTTTACTATTTCGTAGGTGTGAGAGGGAGATGTGTTAAAGATAAACGAGATGCCCTCTTGGATTTGGCATTCACATTAAAATAACACGTGTTAACTGCCGTCTGCCTGGGGGAGCACAGGCCTCATTTCGGAGGGCCACGCTGGTCGTACCTTCCCTAAAGGTGTCTCAGGGCGGCCCTCGGTGTTAGCAGGTCGACAGCTGTGTGTAGTTTAAGGCACGCGCTGTCTCCTGCTTGAGTGGGGTCCGTGGTGTGACAGCGCGTGCGCAGGTGTCGCCTTCACGCCCGCGGTCTGGGTTCACCGCTCACGGAACACTGACGCTGTGCCCGCCCCCGCCCGCCTCCCGCAGACGCCGTCCTGCACACGCTCACGGGCGCCATGTGCCTGCTGCGGCGCTGCCGGGTCAACGCCGCGCTGACCATCCAGCTCTTCTCCCAGCTCTTCCACTTCATCAACATGTGGCTGTTCAACAGGCTGGTGACCGGCCCCGAGTCCGGCCTCTGCTCCCACTACTGGGGCGCCATCATCCGCCAGCAGCTGGGCCACGTGGAAGCCTGGGCGGAGAAGCAGGGGCTGGAGCTGGCCGCCGACTGTCACCTCAGCAGGATCGTGCAGGTGGGTAGTCCCCAGCCTTGCCGCCCGCCGTTGGCGGACTTCCCGCGAGCGTCCGTCAGAACCGGCTGAGCCTCGGCGCCTCCCCCGGGGGTGCTCCCACGTGGAAGCAGTGAGACCACAGCGTACGACGCGCAGCAAACGCGGGCGTTCGCAGCCTCAGGCCTGGCGGCCGGAAGTCCCAGGGTGGTGTGGCAGCTGGCACCCTCGGGGGCCATGGGGGCGAGTGAGTCCCAGGTGGCCCTCCGCGCCTCTGCGGCTTTGCGGCCATCGTTGGCCTTCCGGGGCTGGTCGAGGGGTCGCCGCCACCTCGCCTTCGTGCTCACAGGGCGTCCTCCCCGTGCGCGTGTCTGTCCGAACGTCCACTTTCCATAAGGACAGCAGTCGTGTTAGATCTGCTGACGTCGTTTCAACGCGACTGTTTTGACGGTCCTGTCTCCAGATGAGGTCCCCTCCTGAGGTGACAGGGTCAGGGCTCAGTATGGGAATTTGGGGGGACACAGTTCCGCCCATCACAGGTGGTAACTAGTAGATCAAATCCCCTTAAAGGGTCTTTTTTATCGAGATTGGTAAGGTATATTTCATAAAACTCCATCTGGAAGACAAATTTTTATTTAAAAATGAGTAATAACTAAATATTAATGCAAAGCCAGGGGACCAGAAAGCAAGAACAGATACAGGAGTAGATGCAGCGGGTGAAGAGAAAGGCATCCGAGCGCACCGCTCCCGAAAATCGTCAACTCACAGGAAGACAGCAGGACAGACGGGGACGGAGGGCTGGGAAATGGCCACGTCCTGATGGCTTCACCAGTTCCGAGGGAATTTCTTAGCTATTCAGACGCTCGAATCTGCTGTTTTACAATTAGGGAACATGAGTACCTACAGCCTCCAAACCCAGGGCAAGTCGTTTTTGTTATTATAGTGTGTAGTTTGGTATCTTTTTTTTTCTCGATTTCTTCATCTGTTTTAAGGAAATTTATCATAGAAAAAGGCTACTAGTCTCTTCGATTGAATCAGCTAGTTATAAAAGAGGTCATTGCAACGACACTTCATTCAGACCCCAGCAATGGGAATCCGAATGGGTATCTAAGTGTTTTAGGTTCCTAAGAGCATTTTGAAGTGCTTTAGGAACGTAAAGCACTTGAACGCAAATTCAGCGTAATTATATATATTGACCATAAATCCGATTTCATTGAATACGTGTTTTTTAGGAGCCTTGAGAGGCCGTCTCAGTGAGCCTGCGTAGGGTCCACTTTAATGTCGCAGTCGTGTCACTGGACGTGTGCTTCCATAAAGTCCCCTGCGTGTCCGAATCCCGCTGGCACGTTGGCACGGTCGTGCAGGTGTCTCAGGAAGGGCAGCGCTGCGGAATCCTCCAGTCAGTCCCTGCTCTCTGCTGTTTGACTAGGCCACCACCCTGCTCACCATGGATAAGTACGCCCCCGACGACATCCCGAACATCAATAGCACCTGCTTCAAGCTGAACTCGCTGCAGCTCCAGGCCCTGCTGCGGAGCTACCACTGCGCGCCCGACGAGCCGTTCATCCCGGCGGTAGGTGCACGCGACGCTCGGCGAGGATGGACGGGGAGGTGCGCCCGCGGTTCCCTGCGCCCTTCACAGTCGCTGACTCACGCGTCTTGCACGGTCGTCTTTGCCGTCGAGTGTCCCAGGTTCATTGTGAGGCTTGCGGACTCCGCAGCATTTTAATAGCCAGGGAGTTCACTCAGGGATTAGGGTCGTGGAAGGTCATGGGAAGGACAGGGAGAGGGCGTGCCGCCATGCTCGAGGCCTGGATGCTGCCGTGTCGTGTCACGGTGCCGAGTCACACCGTGCGTTGGCCTCCCGGCCCCCGCGGAGGCTCCGACGGGTGCAGTCCGCATTTCGGCGTCTTCCCAAACGGAGTGAGGGGCGGACACCCAGTGCGCAGCACCCACCACCTCTGGCTGTTTGCGAAGCGAGAAGCGTTGCAAACACCTGCCATCAGTGAAACGGAACAGTCTGGGTACGGGCGTCCTGAGCATCCGAGGAGAGGTAAGCTCGTTAGGCGGTGGGATCCATCTGCTGGCCCCCGGTATTGAGCTTATCCCAAGAAAAGAGCTACGAAAGTAACGAGGAGCCGGGGTCCCCCAGCGTCCACCAGCGGTGCAGGGTGCGAGCGAGTCGCACCATCGTCACGTAAGGGAATGCCGCGCACAAAAGGATTGTAATACTCTGAGCCTTGGTTGCTGCCAAATTAGGAACCAAAATGACCTTACTCACGTGCCAGGAATAATTGCCTTCCAGCT